GAAGAGATTGCGACACGTTCGGTTTAATGCTGAAATGTACTGAGTCTATATTCTAATAAATGAGAGAGTATTTACAAAGGTAGTTATGCAAGGTATTACACCCTCACAGTGTATCTCTGCGGATCGCGGCTGTGATTGGTGCGCGCGGACTTCGCGTCTCGGACGCTAATTATGCCGGTATCTGGTCAGGTTGGTGACTTACAAGCTAAGAGGGAGAAACGCGAATATGTACAGACGGCAGGATTCTTCGCAACTACGGAAACGCAAGTACGCGTATCGGTGGGGAATGTCGGTTTCGCGGTGCGCGAATGCGAAGTGTCGCAGCACGACGTGGTGCGCACAGTCGGCGGTCGGTCTGCTACCCAGTAGCGAGAGATGGTTTCCGGCGCCGTGAGAACGGCGATTCTGGTGAGCCGTGAGAACGGTTATCGGTGAGCTGTGAGAACGACTTACGGTGAGCAGTGTGCCCAGTTTTGACTCTCTTGCAGCAAGTGGAGGGAATACGCACACAGGCGAGTAGTCGTGTACGTGTGCGCTCGACGCTTCGGCCGTCTTTGGGCGATAGAACAGAAAAGAGATATGTCTACTGTCTCTTTCTTTCGACATAGCTATACCGTACGCGGCTAGCGTGAGCGGCTAAGACTCGCGCTAGCAGCTGTTTATCATTTTTCGCTATTTGTCCTCGTTCTTGCACTTATTACTTACAGAAACATTTCGATTAAATAAAAAAATATTAACACCATAATATAATAATTAGAAAAATGAAACATATGAGAAGCATAAATGAAAAGTGAAAAATATAAATCTACTCTTGGCCAATATGTACGTCTTTTTGTTTTAAACAAAAAAAGGAAAGTATACTTAAGTATACATTTAACAATAGTATTGTTAATATAAAATACATAGAGATAAAAATATATGTAAACAATTAAATCTTTTTGAAGCTTGAGAAGTTACTAAACAAAATATATCGTACGAGCCGATCGCAGGATGTTACGGAAAAATGCGTGTATATATATATATATATATACACCCCCGAATGGGTTCCCACCTTGTAGTAGCTTCGAGGCGGGAGCTCGGGGCTCGCGGAGCGCTCGGTGCGCACGTGGTCTAGCCGTCTCGCAGTAACTACACGGAACGTTATTTTGTTCCCAGCATGTGCTGGTGGCGGCGTGGCCGGGCATTGATCGTCAGCTCCTCTCTGGACGCTGGCGGATCTGCCTGGTCGTGTCGTCACAATGGAAGTGTAATCTGACGGGACAACAATTGACCACAAAAAGTGAGCATCTGGTGTCCTGGGCTGTGGGCTCTCGCGCCGGAGCGTGTGGTTGGGCTTCAGGTCGCGGGTGGTGGTCATCCGCTCAGGGATGGGCCCGTCTGTGACCAACTAAGAGGAACCCCCCAAGTTAAGGTGGGAGCGACCGTGCCGAGAGCTGCGTGGCGCAAAGAAAGTTGCGTCGTAAACGGTGTCTCCTGAATACCGGGCGAAATCCAGGAGTACGAAGCCAAGCCCCAGCCATTCGCGGCTCTGGCTGGGTGAGACCGCACGACCGCGATACTCGTGGGAACACAAATGATTGAAAACAGAAATAAAATCACTCCCAAATCAGTCCCCAAAAGCAAAGCCTCCTGTGGAGGCAAACGCCCAGGGGAATCTTGCAGTGCGTGAGCGGGCTCAGAAGCCCCAAAATACCGCATTAAATATAGCGGGGCCGCTAGGCGCCGTTATAATAAAGAGATGCTAGCCGGGGAGAGTGGGGCCAATAAGACCCCCTCTACCCCCGCAGTCTTTTGCTTAAAAGGTGGAGGATGGACGGGCTTTGGGTGGCGCGGCAAAGCGCGCCAGGCCGGAGCACGTTACTCCCAGCCCCTCAGAAAATCGCCAGGGCAAGAGACCCAAAAATGTAGGGTCGTATGCACAGGCGACAAAAGGTCTTGTCAGGATGGCCCTCGTACTAGAAGACTACCCTGACAAAAAAATGGGAGCCGGTGAGGTGGGTGAGATCAGAAAACTGATCAGGTCTGTCATCCTCGGCATGTCTGAGAATGACAAAGCCCCCACTTTCACTGGTTCCTGGGAGAGGGATGGCGCACTCATGGTTGTGTGCGCCAACAAAGAATCGGCGAAGTGGCTTAAGGTCCACTTCTCCGATTTAAAAGTCAGGGGAACTTCTCTGTGTGTGCTGCCGGGTGGTGAGCTACCTAAACGTCATCGGATGGTGGTGCATGTGGACCCTGAAGTAGGAGTTAAGGAGGCTTTAAAGCTCATTAACCAGCAAAACACAGGATTGGCAACCAGCGATTGGGTCGTCATCAGGGGGACGTATAGGAGGGACGCTACGAGCGCCCACTTCTCCTGTCTGGTTGGCAACTCGGTGTTGGAACCCTTGAAGCACTGTGGCTTCAGGCCTTTCTTCGGTCTCGGCCGGGCCACCGTTAGGTTGGCAGGACGAGAGCGTGGGGAGGCGACGGAGAAGGAGATAGAGTCGGAAGGTGTCGGGACTGCCTAAAAATGGCTTCTCTCGGCATCCAAATGATCCAGATTAACAGCAAGAGTGCCTCGGTTATCCTAGCCAGGAGCATGGCTGTGATGCATACAAGTATTGCACTAGTTCAAGAACCATGGATTGTAAATGGTGCAGTAAAGGGACTGAGTGGGTGCGGCTGCTTATACAAAGCACACTCAGAAAATAGAGTAAGATCGTGCATTTTAGTAAAAAGACTGAATGCTATCTTTCTGCCACAGCTCAGCAGCGAGGACCTCACAGTCATCAAGGTAAGAGTGAAGCTAGCCGAGGAAAAGGACATGGAAGTATTAATAGGGTCAGTTTATATGCCCTATGACTCCACGAATCCACCACCACATGAAGAGGTAAAAAACCTGGCCTATGCGGAAGCCAGGGGGCTCGAACTTCTGCTGGGTTGCGATGCGAACTCCCACCATGTAGGATGAGGAAGCACAGACACCAACCTGCGGGGTCTCCACAACTACCTAATGGGCACAGGATTAACCATTCTCAACAGAGGAAACGAGCCGACATTCCTGGACTCCAGAAGACAGGAAGTCATTGATATTACGGTATGTACAGAGAGAGTGGCGAGTTTGGTGAGGAACTGGAGGGTATCAAATGAGCCCTCTGGGTCGGACCACAGACATATACGCCTCACTCTCCAACAAATACCGCAAATCAGCTGGGTTCGGAACCCACGGAAAACTAACTGGGAAGGGAAGCTTTAGGGTTGACCTTAAGGCCCAGTTTGCTATGGCCCCAATCAGTTTCAGAACCAAAAATAATCTGGAAAACGCGGCGGACTTTTTAAAAAACGCCATTATAAACACCTTTGAATTAAACTGCTCACCAAAACCCAGGAATCCGGTAAACAAGATCTACTGGTGGAATAAAAAGCTCGATAAGCTCAGGTTGGAAACAAGAAAAAAATTCAACAAAGCGAAAAGAACAGGACTTGCAGTACACTGGGAGGCCTTTAGAAGCTCCCAACGAAAGTACAGCAAAGAGATTAAGAAATCAAAGTGCAAAAACTGAAGACGTTTCTGTGAAAGTATTGAGAGCGCTCCGGAGGCATCCAGGCTTCACAGAATCCTCAGTTTGGATTACCGTCTCCAATTAGGCTGTTTCAAGCTCCCAACGGGAAATGTCACTGAGGAGGCAATGGACACATTGAAACATTTAATGGAAGTCCACTTCCCAGGTTTTGATCATAATATACAACCCTGCCGACCGAAGCCTAGGGAATATAAACCCAAGGACTGGCGTCCGGCAGCTGAGGTTATTTTTCCAAAGGGAGTTGAATGGGCTGTTAAGACCTTTTCTCCCTATAAATCACCTAGACCGGATGGAATCTACCCGGTTTTTCTTCAAGAGGGGCTGGGGGTTCTCACAGGTCCACTCAAAAAAATCTTCAGGGCTAGCATAGCTCTAAGACACGTCCCTCAGGCTTAGGGTGGTACAAGAGTAGTCTTTATACCCAAGCCTGATAGAAATGGCCATATAACAGCCAAAGACTTCAGACCGATCAGTCTCACTTTCTTTGTACTGAAAACACTGAAGAGACTGGTCGATAGATATTTGAAAATCGGCCCTTTGCTAGTACATCCGCTGTCTCCGGCTCAGTATGCCTACAGGGAGGGCAAATCAACAGATACTGCCTTGCACCATCTCGTGGGCGGAGTCGAAGTGCAGTTGGAAGCAAAGGGATATGCCCTGGGCGTTTTTCTGGACATTGAGAGAGTTTTCGATAGCACCTCATATGATGTCATCAGAGAAGCAATGACCAGGCATCATATTCCCGCTGCTCTAGCAGACTGGACACAAAGCACGCTAACAGGAAGAACTCTGATTGCCAATCATGGGGACTCAAGTGTGCATGGTTTCCCCGCTAAAGGATGCCCGCAGGGAAGAATTTTATTTCCTTTGCTCTAGTGTCTGGTTGCGGATGAACTTCTATGAGAATTACAGAAGAAAGGCTTCCTTTTCTCTGGCTACGCTGATGACGTGGCCATTATAGTGCGCGGTAGTTTTCTTTCAATACTTAAGGAGACTATGCAGAAATCCCTTAAGATCACGCAGGACTGATGTCAATCAAAAGGACTTAGGGTTAATCCATCAAAGACCAAGTCTATGATTTTCACCAGGAAATACAAACCTGAAGCCATTGAACCGCTTAGACTCTGGCGAGAAGATATAGAATATGTCCAGTCAGTAAAATATTTGGGAGTCCACTTAGACACCAAACTAAAGTGGAAAACACATATTGATATAAAAAGATCTAAATTCTACGCCTCATACTGGGCGTGTAGAAGAGCAATGGGAAAATCCTGAGGTATTAAACTAAATACTGTCCTATGGATATACAAAGCGGTATTTGTATCGAGGTTAACATATGCTGCTGTTGTTTGGTGGCCCAGAGTAGAAAAGATGGAGTCAAAGGACTTACAAAAAAGCTTACAAGGTAATTACTTGAGGGCTGCGGTAGGGACTATGAGAACCACACCAACAGAAGCGCTGGAAGTGGCACTCTGCATTCCACCTCTAAGATTGACTGTCATCAGCGCTGCCAAACTCACAGCATATAGACTAAGGTGTCAGGGGGAGTGGAGAGATTTCGGAGTAGGTCATACCAGGCTCGAGTTTCTTCACAAACCTCCCTTTACCTTAAAGCAAAACAGAATATTCAGAATACGCCAAGTGGACAAAGCGTTCTCTATAAACTTGACCACCAGGGCGGACTGGAAAAACAAAAATCTTCAGATGCAGCCGGGCACTCATGCATGGTTTACTGATGGATCTGGAGCAAACGGCTGCTATGGAGCAGGCATCTACTGTCCAGGATCAAATCACAAAGAGTGTTTCTCTCTGGGTAAATTGGCCACGGTCTTTCAAGCGAAAGTCCTGGCCATTCTGGAATGTGTAAGACTCCTACTCTCAAGAGAGACGAAAACCAGGAGATTCAATATCTATACGGATAGCAAAGCAATCATAGGAGCTCTTGCTAAAACTACCACTGAATCTTCAGTAGTTTGGGACTGTATTAAAGCTCTAAACAGATTGGGCGAGCGAAACAACATCACGCTTGTCTGGGTACCTGGCCACCAAGGTATCCAAGGCAATGAAGTGGCTGATAGTCTGGCAAAACTGCGTACCTTAGAGGAACCAGTCTGCCAGATAGTTGGAGTACCCTTTGCAACAGGGAAAAACCATATCAAGGACTGGCTGAAAAGGGAGCACAGAATCTCGTGGGAGATACTGAAGAGCTGCCGCCAAGCTAAGGCCCTGATGACTCAGCCATTGCCAGGTAGAACAAAGGAACTACTGAGTAAGTACAATGAGATCTAGGTGACACTAAGGGTCTTGATAGCCCCCCGCTCATTCTTATCTATTTATCTATCTAAGTACAATGAGTAAGTACAGACAAAGACTGTGTATTGGTCTTCTCACAGGGCATTGGGCCTTCAAGGCACATCTATTCAACTTAAGCCTAGTTGAGGAGAGTAATTGCAGATTTTGCGGCAAAGAGAGGGAGGACAGCGTGTACATATTGTGTCGCTGCCCGTCTCTAGTACTCAAGAGATTCAGATTTTTGGGCTCCATGTTTGTGGAGCCCGAGGACCTAAAAATAATTAAAATCGGCCATCTGTGTAGCCTGGCAGCAAATGCCGGGTTTTAGCAGCTTGGTCGATAAACAACTAGCGGGAGTCGCAGAGGATCTTATAGATCTAGGTGACAATAAGGTCTCACAAGCCCCCCGCTCCTCGTTATCTATCTATCTATCTATATATATATATATATAGATATTTGTTTGCGTGTAAATTTTTACACATGAGGTTTTTGAATTGAATTTCACTTCTTAAATTCATATAGGATGCTACCAGTAATCGATTCTACGTTGTCTTTGTAAAACCTCAGTTTACTTTATTTTTAATACCGGAATGACTTATATAAATAAAGAGCAACTGTCGTTATATAACTTAAATATGGTATACTACTCAATGTTTCAAGATAACATAACGAATTGTAATTCTGATATTTGTAGCTTTTGTATTAACATTCAAAACTGTTTTTCAGGTTTGAACCGCGTTACTGTCATTATTATATGTATTAACGCGGTTTAAACCTGAAAAATTACTGAATGTTAATAACGAATTGTATGTTGGTGTAAAAAATACAAATGGTTAGAAATATTTTATTACTAAACAAGTCACTTTACACATTTTAAAATTTGTAACATAATTAACAATGTATATATATATATATATTTATTTGTTTACTTATTATGATTTATATTTTTTAGTTTACATTTTATATTTTATATTTATATATATATATATATATATATATTTATTTGTTTATTTAGATTTATTTTTTTTATATTTATACATATATATATTTATTTATAGATGCACTTTAATTTCTTAAATAGTTGTGTTTTGACTTTTGTTGTCAATTGTAACTCGTGTAAAGTGACTCTAAAATAATCATAACACTCTCTATGTATTGCGTGTCTCTTTTTATGTTGTATTTTTTTTCTTATCCCAGACACCATAGACCTGCAAAATACGTCCTAAAAACATCCGGACAATGTGCTATTTTTAAAGACGCATTTTGAATGTTTTTAAGATGTCACTTGAAAGTTTGTGCTAACCGAAATTTTTTTTCAGTTTTCTTTATCTCTTCTATTTGTTCTTTCCTTATCTATTTTTCCTTCTTTTTTATCTTCTTTTTCCATCTATCTTTTCTACTTCTGTATTTTGTATTTAAGCTTTTACCTGTTCTGTTCTATCTATATTCTTTTTGGAAATACATAACATTGGGTTTGTAAATAGTATATTAATTTTTATATATTTGTATTTAATTCTATTTTTATTGAAATATTGTTTTATACTATAACATATAGAATTATTTCAATTATTTTAGTTATTATTATTTGTATGTTAAAAACGTATATATAAACATTTATTACAATATTGAACAAAACAAATATTTTACATTGTTTTTGACGGACGAAACCACCATCTTCTTGCAGTTTCCGTTGAGCAACAATGTGTACGTAGTTAATTTCTAAAACTTAAATACAATCAAATTCTTATTGTAAGAATACTTTTTTCTTTTAATGTATATTATATGTAAGTGCAAGTGCAAAGTAAAAAATATGTTAACAGAATACTTTTTACGTAACAAGCACCATTAAAATATATTTTTATCTCTATGTATTTTATATTAACAATACTATTGTTAAATGTATACTTAAGTACACTTTCCTTTTTTTGTTTAAAACAAAAAGACGTACATATTGGCCAAGAGTGGATTTATATTTTTCACTTTTTATTTATGCTTCTCATATGTTTCATTTTTCTAATTATTTTTTTATGGTGTTAATATTTTTTTATTTAATCGAAATGTTTCTGTAAGTAATAAGTGCAAGAACGAAGACAAACGGCGAAAAATGATAAACAGCTGCTAGCGACTAGCCACGTACGCTATAGGTATGTCGAAAGAAAGAGACAGTAGACATACCTCTGTTCTCTTTTACCGCCCGAAGACGGCTGAAGCATCAAGCGCACACGTACACGGCTGCTCGCCTGTGTGCGTATCCTTTCCACTTGCTGCAGCGTGCTGTAAGAGAGTCAAAACTGAGCACTAGGGATGGGCGATGTTAAAAAAAAGCATCGACATTCAAATAATCGATTTNAAAAAGTAACGATTTTTTTAAATCGATTATATCTGAAAAATATCGATAATAATCGATTATTTTTTATTGTTTAATATTAAATTAATAATGCTCACAATTGAACTAAACATTGAAGATCAAAATTGACCAGTCAAGAACACAGTTTAATATAGTACAGGCGCAGATAAATACGTTCTGTCAGGATAAAAGTAATCTGAATCTTCTATTTATGTATGCTATGAGTTTTATAATTTTTGTATTTAATAAATGTAGTAACTGAATGTTAGTAATTGAAAATGAAAATAATCATTAAATGCTAGTTGCAAATACTGAGCAGTAATCTGCACCACTACAAATTGTGTATCTGCACCAATCAGATATCGCAACATCGCATCAGTGTGTTAAGGTCTATTTACATATGACACAGATACGAGTCTTAAGTTGCAAGTCTTGCGAAACTTACCAATCACGTTGGCCGCTTTACTGATTTGATCAATGTGATTGGTCAATTCCGCAAGACCTGTGGCCTGCGACTCGCATCTGCGTTTTATATGTAGATAATACTGTTGTGCGCCAATTTTTGTAAAGTAAAGGTTAAGAAAGGTGAGGCCATTGAGCAATGTGATGAAACATCACTGTCATTGCTCAATGACCTGGGCAGGTTGCAGAAAGGTAGCAGTTCTAGGAAGAACTGCTGGTTGCCACCGGGTGCGACACATCGCCGCATTGTCCGAAGTGCAACGCAGCATGTGTCGACAC